GTGTTTGTATGACTTGTGGTGAGTGGTAGAAAAGGGCCAGCCCCCAGACTCAGATACAATCTGGGCCTGCTTGTGTCTGCCTTCACATGAAAAAGGGGAAAGTACCATTTGGATTTGGTCTTTTTGTTTTACAGATGCCGATTGCAGAACACAGTCACAGACATCAGAACATCCTCAGCGTACTACGCACCGAGCTCAGGAAGCGAGCACTCCCCGCCCGGGTGCACAGCAGAGGAAACTCGGGACTCGTGCAGTCGTCATTTCTTAACGTCTGTCTTCCTGCGCTCCTCAGACTCAGAGCTCTCTGAACTCTGCCAGCGGTCGGACAATGCCACAGCGCAGCCTGCATCCCCTGGTCTACATCCTGCTGATGTGGCTCACCATCATCTCCATAGTCCAAGTTGTGTTCATCGCTTTTTTCTTCACTTTGGGACAAAACGGCCAGGTGAGGCTCCTTGAAGTAGCTTTATAATCAAAGTTCGTGTAGCGTGTTGAAAAGTCATAACATGTTTTGTCGGGTTTGTTACCTTTGAATGAGTTAACATGCAGATGTCAGACAGACACTAAAGCACAGTGCTTCTGTTGTTTCATGTGGTTTCCACAGTAGCTCAGCTGGTGAGAAAGACACCTGTGCGTGTGGCCTGCATCTGTTTGCTGACCCTCCAGCATAATTCCCACTTAGTGAAAAGCTTTTTCATAGAATTCATTCATCTGAGATCATTGTGTTTCCTGGAGATGGCACAAAGCGGCACAAAACAAAACAAAAAACAGAGGTGTTAGGCACGGCAGGTAGAAATCATGTTTTAGAGTTTAATTTTCACAGGAGATTGTTTTGAGAACAAAAACTTTTTTGTGAGGGTGGGGTGGAGCATATTTTTAAAAAATGTCTTGTTTCAAGACATTTTTTAAGGTTTCTTCCATGACTTTGTATTATATTTATGGTTCTGTTTCTAATTCCAGTCTTCAAGCCATAGAGCTGAAGAACCAGGTGGCACCAATGTTCCACTAGTTGCCATAACTTCGGTAAGATGACCTCAGTTTCAGAGTGTGTGCCATAATGACCTCAGAGCTTGGAGCATTTGACATCTGAAAAATGAGTAAACATTGTCTTGATTGAAACACCCCCTGTGATCTGTCTTTAATTCCAGTTTTTTGTAAAAATTAATCCAACAGATCAACTTGAAGTTTTTTTCCATTTCTTTTTGARTTACTTGTGTCACTCTAACCACTGTCTTGGAGGAAGCAGAGTGACGTCATTGCAACATTCGGGGAAATGCCACTAATCTAAACAGTTCTTTTTTTTTTCATCTCAAGATAGCACAAAGCCTATTCTGTTCCCTCTTTAATGATGAAGGCAGCAGTTTGATCTCTGAGTTAATAAATGTTATGGTGACAACACATCAGGTGTTAATWTTTCAAAAGTAATCAGTCCTGTCTTCTTTTTACAGCCCATCACCAAGACAAAGACGATCTCTGAACAAGGCACAGTGCTCAACTACAAGGCCAGTGGAGGTAAAACTTTCCTTCACTACTGTTAGCTCAGATCCCATGAGCCACATTATTGGAATTTGTGTTTATGTGTTGAAGGAAACTTTATTAGAATTTTTGGTAACACTTTCTTTTACTGTACCCTTATTACCATGTAATTACAAGGTAATAAAAAATGTAATTAAATGTAATTACTACCTTATTACCATGTAATTATGTGGTGATTAGGGTACAATTTTACTATGTAATTGTCTGCAGTAAAGTARCACTTACCTGGTAATGTATCACAATTCACTWTRTAACACCTAAATAAGTAGTAGGTAATTTGGACAGTGTTAAAGTTATATTTTATTGCAATTAACCACTAACCCCAAAATTTAGTTGCATTCTTTTGGTTATAAATATAGTGTTGAGTTACTATTGAATAGTAATTTGATTGTAGTTACCCAATAAAGGTAGTTTTACTAACAGTAGTTTTTTTGTACCGTAATCACCACGTAATTACATGGTAATAATGTAGTAATTACATTTAATTACATTTTTTATTACCTTGTAATTACATGGTAATAATGTAGTAATTACATTTAATTACCATTTTTATTACCTTGTAATTACATGGTAATAAGGTAGTAATTACATTTAATTACCATTTTTATTACCTTGTAATTACATGGTACTAAGG